TGGGCAACGATGGAAAAACAAGTGGAAAAAGCTTGCGCAGTAGACCATAGACCCTGACCGACAGGTCCAATACTGTACACACAAACTTGTTTACGCTGAGGCAGGCAGCCGCATCCCATGGTGACAGGTGCGTCACACATATTCATAAATGTCTCTCATAATTCAAAATTTTATAAAATATTATTATTATTAAATTTGTTTAATATATATAGCATATTTCGAAAGTAGGGGAGTACAAATTATGTTTTTCTTACTGTTCTGTACTCTATTTAATTTGTCTCAAAAGTTCCTTAACCTTTAATTATCCATTTTCTTTTACCCATTAGCTGCGGCCAAAGTCTGTTAACACCGAAATGGGCAACAGTGGTCAATGTTAATACACACACTCATTTCCTGCCAAGAAATTGTAATGCATGTGGTGCTCTCATGTTTTGTTTTAGGTCTATGAGTGGACATGTGAGAAGTATCCTCAGTAGACCTTTGTCAGACACACAGAGTGGAACTTTTATATCTTTCAGTTCAGGGGGAATGATATGAATGAGGGAAGTGGTTTCCGGACCATTATTGCATGTTATTATAATGGAAAAACATCCACTGGACAAGTTGTGTGGTTAGTAATAATTTTCCACATTCCATTTTTCTGTATGCTTGTCTATATTTCATAAGCAAATTTACTATTGTATTTTTTGAAGAATTAAAATAAGTGCAAACACAGATTTCCCAATTTTTCCATGACCACAGTTTAAGGGTTAAAAATTGTACTGTTAAATGCGTTAACTTTCATTCCTCATTTCTTACAACCTTCCCTCACATACCTAGGCTTGCCTAATATGCCAGGGATATTTACATCAATGAACACCAAATGATGACCAGATATTACTCCATTTACATCACATACATGAGCCTGGCATGACTGGTTCCTGAGAAATGGTGGATATTCACAGGGGTGGATCCAGGGATATCAAGGGGAGGTGAGGGGGTCAAGAAGTTGTGGGTGGGGGAACATGGCAAATGTAGCGAGCCTACCCAGCTGGGGGGTTTGGGAGGGGGGAGCACTGTAAGCCCCCAGAATTTTTTTTTTTTTAATTTTGACCAATATCATGGACATTTTTAAGCCGTTTTGAAACCATGTGCACTTGATATTAGGAGATATTCTGAGGTCAATAGTAATTACTTTTTGCTATACAAAAAACTCTGAGTACAATACTGCATTAAAGAAAAAGTTCTGGAATTTTCGGATAAAAAGGGGGGTCCATACCCCATTGACCCTTTCCCTCATTCAAGTGGTCCCTCTACAACCTGGCATGCATCACTGGTTTATGAGTCACAGTAGGCAACACTGTGCTGTGAATCATTTTCACAGCACTTCAAAAGAGCTTCAGTTTTTGACCATCCAACTTTACCCTACTGATTGGACAAAACTGTTGGAGGATGAAGTTGGTCTTTTTTTTTCTCCATACTGATGCATTATCAAGTTGTAGATATTAAAAAATTAAAAACCACTAAGTGAACACGTACCCATAAGTCAAAGACTACGTATATAAGAAAGACGGGAAAGCGCCTACCTTTATCGATAAAAAAAAAGTGATCCGCTGAGCCCCAATCAACGCCATCTGTTGGCAACGTGACTAACTAAAAGCCCGGGGCGCATGAGAGTAGCGTGTCCATGTTTCCATGGTAACCAGTGGAATAAGTTGATATTACCTTGATGTTCTTAATGTGTACACATGCACACACACACACACACATACAATATCACACAGTAAATTCTATATGATCAATGATCTATTGCAACGTGAAAAAGTGAAACACAACTTTTATTACTTTTATCCTCTTCACCACTGATCGGCTCATTAGCCGCTTGGGCGACCAGTCACGTCTTTGTTACGCACTGTTGGCAAGTACTGAGCACGCACTGGCTCCTGAATGTATCTGAACTTCCTCCAGTGCTTATTAAGTCTGGTCTTGAAAGAGCTCACACTCGGTGCCGTCACAACACACACTACTCTCACTCCGAAAAAGGTGCCCTCAGTTTTCTGGACCTGCAGCTTCTTCAACCTTGAGCTGTGACCCCTTGTGGGACAAGCGTCTGCCAGCTCCAGGAGCTCAGGGTGATCTGTTTTTGTACATGTGCATACGGCACACAGGTGATGGTGATGCACACTAACGCCACCTGTTGATCCTGCGGCCAACTATATGCTATGTGGCTTGTGCGGTTTTTGCCTTGCTTTCCCGTCTTTCTTATATAGTCTTTGCCCATAAGTAAGCCAGATCTTCATATGAAGGAGTACTGGAACCAACAAGTGTACATGAATTCTTAATCAATAGCAAGCCAGCAATACCAAGTGCCTTCAGTTTGGGGAGCATCAGCCAATGAGATACTCAAAATTTTACTCCACGAAGTGTAGTGCAATTGTACTACTGGAATACAATAATCAAAGTATGAATGAGTCTACTTCAATGATTTGTTTTGAGGTGCCACACTAATAGATCATTGACAACTGAAAAATGTTGGACTATTGATTCTCCAGACTAGAGACTACAGTATTGTATTACACAATTCTTCAATATACCATTTATAGGAGCATAATCTACAATGGCTTGTTATCTTCATACTCACCAAGAAGCTCATATACTGTACACAATAACATCTCTGAAAAAGTCATCAGAGATGTTTCTTCCCCCACTTGCCACAACCTCCAGTAGAATTATCCACCATTATACAGAGTCAAAGAACACCACCTGGTTGGGGTATGACCCGGTGTTCCTCAGCGTCACACACACACCATAAACCCAAACTCTGAAAATTTCCATAAGGAAAATATTAATTTTACCCTAAGAAGCATACAGTACATACAGTACACAAAAAATTTCATATTACACCTAGTATTTATGAAGTAGTGAAGAAGTCATGTCAAAATAATGACAATGTGCCGACTACTGTATATTACACAACCTTAAAAATTTGGGGCATGTGATACTGTAAACTTACCTATCAAGACCTCATAATTCCATTTTTACTCTTCAACACTCCATCTTGAAAGAACAATATCTGCAGTATCTTTTAAATTATTTCATCTTTTAAATTAGATACAATAATTTCTTCAGTTGCTCTTTTTGGTAATTTACTTTCACATATCCAACTGTTTAAAATGTTACTTACCCAAAACATTCTTGAGTCTACAACTGTATTAAGAGCTCTTACTACCTGTTATACCCTTAACTTTGATCAAATTATAACTATAAAGGTAATCACCTTGTCCTAGGCTGTTGTTATATTCATGTACTACAGTGTCACTGGTATTTGTATATATTGTACTGTATTGTGATGCGATACATACATGGGAGAACAAACCTGGAACAAGAGGTTTCACCTTTGTCTTTAACAACTAATTATTTCAAAAAATTCTTGTACTGTACCTGTATCAACTTTATTTTTTCAAAGAAATAACACATTTTTTTTGTACACCCTTTGTTTAAACATTCATTTCACACCTGATTACTCAATTTCCATTCTTAATCCCTCTTAGTTTCATACAACAGAATCATGAAATCATTACAAACTACTTTTTCCTAATTTCAGAATGTTCACTATTGTTTTAATCTTTAACTTTAAATATTCTTCATTAATTATAAAACCATTTTAATTCACATCTTAAAATTTAGTTCAGCGTAATACAGTACTCAGTCCCATGACCAGACTCCTAAATGACTCATTACACAACTCCAAAATCACAAGAGTACTTAATTACTTCACAACAAAATTATCATACTGTATTTGTGAACTTGCCATAAGATGCTGGTTTGTCATTTTCCATACAACAGCACTGTATTCACCCAGACTTCAAATGTAGGTGTTTAATACCATTAACATTACCCAGATAAGGTGTACCATGTGAAGGAAGGTAGCATATATTAAAACTTTTATGTGCACATATAAATACATATTAATATATATAAATATACATATATAACACCAATATAATATTTCTTAGGTGTCGAGATGGTCAGTGGAAGAAATGTTTGAGGAAGATTTTACATTGGTCACTCTGCTCCCCAAAGGAACAAGGTGATAAAAATTTATAGATAGATAGAAAGAATCAAATATCATCTATTCCAGGACTTTGACAACATGCCTATGACTAAACCTAGGGCATTTCTGTATTACTGAGATACAGGCAGGTTATAATTGCTAATGATGGCTCCATTTATCCACTACAGAATGAACTCTATCCTTCAAGAATGTTACACAGAGCCTTAGCTTTAGTATGAATATTATTTCATGCTTCATAATCAGGCTAAAATTTAAGTTTCATGTAATGGAATTTGCAACAACATTTTTAAATACAAGTTGTGCACTATCTTAAGTCTCAGAGAAAAGAAAGAACACACCTTCACACACTAACTCCTTTACATTGTAATCATTTGAATACACAAGATCAAATTCAGAGAAAATCTTGCACTTTCTATTCATTTTGTAGCCAGTACGTCTTCCACTTGCATTATTTCTTCACCAAAACCTCTTCAGTGTCAGACTTAGTTTTGACGGTGTTATGAAGATCACAAACACTTCAGTCTTGTTGTATTGGAATTTTTAATACACTTCAATCACTTGGTACCAAACTCACTAAACATGTCTGTTGAAGCACCTCCAAATCTCCTTGACAAGACCTCAGCATCATGTGACCCCTAATAGGTATAGGAGTTGCTTGCAATAATACCTACAATAGTTTTGATTATTACTAGGTTGCACAATGTACAATAATGTACCAAGATACTGAATTCTACAAGATCAAGGGATGTTGACACGGGGGTATCCATGCCTCTACTAGACAGGCTTCAGAACAGAACTTCCTTAACTTGACACTGCTAGGGCTGAAGTCATCCACTTAAGTGTACACAAAGCATGTATACTTTCACAAATTTGTACACTTTTAACACAATCCTCATTTTGACAAAATAAATATAAAATAAATAAAAATAAAACAATTTCATTACAATAATTTTGCATCAATTTATTTCAATCTAGGCATCCAAACTCCACTGTTTCACATTTATAATACCTGTATTTCTAAACAGATGAAAACACACACAAGACAACTTTTAAGTTCTTTATTGTCTTGCTTTACAGTATGTGAACAGAAAGTTATGAAGATTACAATAACGGTATTACTTAATTTTAACATCCCAGTCTGATTGGAGTTAAAAATGTTGAGGCGATGTTGCTGCTGCTTCACTGACTGACGAGGCGACGGACATGTGGCTCACAACAGGCAGTACTGGGCCCTGGGAGGACACAGCCCAGAGGAACACCAACACCGCCAAGTCTCCAAGCTGGCACTTAACAGTGGCTGTGAGTCCCTAGCTGCATAATGCTACTGCATCATGTTGGCACTATCTAGTCTACAGGAAATAGAAATAACAGAACAAGTTCCATACAGAAAAAGCAGTATTAAAATATCACATCTCCACAAGTGAAAGATGCAACCCAGAGAATGCCATTGTGAAGCTGAGGCAGCAGCCTACTAGAGTCCATCTCTGTCCCTCCATTACAAACTTCCTACACCTCTCTATCAGCCCCTTCACCAAAATGATGAAATGTCTTTATATCCACATTCTATCAGCCACTCCACAGAGCACAATTAACACTGACACCCTCCTCTTTTTAACAGACAACTACATCAATGTCATCCACTTCATATATGGATTTATTTTCAGTTTCATGATATGTGCTCCAACCATGTACTGGTCACTTGAAAAGCTTCAGCCAAACTTGTCACACCCCTTAAAATTTAATCCACATATATACACACACAAGACAGCCCATTAATAATTTTTACTCCACCACCACCACCTTCATGAATCCCTTGCTAATGCTACCCCCAGGATAAGATCCATCAGCACTGGCCTGCCCACCAAAAATTAGAAGGAATTATCACTGCTCCAGCAGCCACAAGTGATGAGACTCCAGAGGAAGCTACGGGTCTTCCTAAAAGCACAGGTTAATATTATTATTACTTTTGCTTCATCATAAATTAAATTAGCAAGGGCTTTAAACAAATCACATTGCAGCTTAGCTGAAAGAAATAAAAGAAAACAAAAATAAAATACAATCAATAACAGAAAAAAATTGTTTAAAGGTTTAGATCAGGTCTGATCTGGACCCTGAGCAGGCTGCCACACCCACACCCTACTCTGCTTCAGGTGTATGTACATGTACAGTTAAATTTACAAACATACAAGGCAGAAGTAAAGCATGTGGCAAAGGCTAAGTCTACATCATGTGTGACATACATACAAAGTGTTCACACACCTCAAGTTGGATGTGTCCAATTTTTTTCCCAACAATCTCATCACATTCCTAGCATAGACTTATCATCAGGATTACATTTCAAAGTTGACTGTACAATGTATACAAGCTTAACTGAAAATAGATTGGTTGATTTGTGCAGGTGCCTTGATGCCCATCAAGAACATGGAAGGGGCAGGTGAACACCACCTGGTTCCTGGGGGTCCCAGTTGGTCTGCAGTCCTATGGCAACCTCTGAGTCACTTGTGTACCAGTTGGAATTGGCCTGTTCACTGTACAAGGTCTCCTGGGTTGTGTTGCCTCAAATCTATCAGCTTATGGTAATTTAAGTGCACATTAATGGTTCCCTATACAATAGGTGCAAGTAAATTATCACTCACATCAATTACCAAATGATGAACGCATTTTGAGAATATACACGGCCAGTAAGGCCCATATCACAAGCCTTGGGGTATTGATAACTTGATAGTGCACCATATGGATCATTCAAGCTGGCAATTTAATGTCCACAAACTGAAATGTCAAAATCAAGCTGGTCAATATTATGGTTACCATGGGTGAAGGTGGCAAGTGTGAAGTTTCTTGATACTGAGAATAAAAATGGGTATTGTATGAGTCCCAGAGATTGCTGCCACCATAATGGTGCAGTGGTGGCCAATATCATCAGCAGTGTGTGTCCCTCATGGAGATGGCAGTAGTAGAGTGGTTGTAGAATGTGACGGGGCTCCCTGGATGATGGCATCAAATGATGTGTGTGTCTGCAATGGGTTAATAACAAGAAACTGAAGTTGATATCAATGAAGGATTCTTTGGTTGGTAAAGGTGAACACTTCTAGGGTCACATTTTCTGAGGATCTTCATTACAAGAGTTGGAAGTACAGTTTAGTCCAGCTGGTTGTGCACTACAGTTCAATGTATTAATGTTGCCAGATTGGTACGCACACTTTAGACAGCACGGGGAGCAGTGCACACTATGGTTCCTTGGGATGATAATGATTTTCTTGTTCACCTAGGCAGGCATCTGCACAAGACACCACCTGCACGCAAGCACATTGTCCCTTTGTTTGGGGGCCACCAACGGTTTGTCCATGCATCACACTATTGCACTGCATTTAACGCTTGGTATAGTCTTTCAATTAGGCCAGCCAGACATCTTGTTGTTTGAGCCTCTACACACCCCTTCCACTAAACACTGGTACTGGTTGCATAAATTAATAATGAGAGCACACGTAAACTCCCACTCACAGGAAAAAATGCACTTCCTAAAAAAAAAAAAGGGGGAGAGGTTATACCCAGTAGAGGGAACACTGAGAGTGATGGTAGGCAGCTTGCAGATGGCTGCCCGGTCCACTGACCAGTGGGGCCAGTGCTGCCCGACCAGCTAATCAGCTAGCAACACAGGGCACAACAGGAAGCAAGTGAAATCATCCACATAAACTAGACTACAAAACGGTGAGGCCTCGTCGCCCCAAGTCCACACATATGGGGATGACTAGACATTGCCAAATCAAGACCAAGTCCTGTTTCTTTTTGTTCATTTTCCCAATGACTATGTGGGCCACAACACAATGGCTATTAATAGTATCAAGAACTGGTGCACACAGACTCTCAACCTATGTACAATCATGAGAGGAAGGGATGACTACCTTCACAGACAGAGGAGACATAATGTGGTTTGCATGAATCAAACTTGGGCAATGACATATACTATCTCCTAACTAATGCAAAGTAAACTACAATCACAAATTTATTTTTGTGACCTGAACAACCTGCTGATCAGTTCAATATTAAAAGCCCTCTCCAAAACACAACAATTGGCCTACCAATAACAGCAGATTAAAAAAAAGTCCAGTAAAGTAAATCATAACCCAGAATTAGGCCCAATACCTATGCAGAAAATCAAATGCAAATAATTCAATTTGAATAAAATCCTAGTGAGGAACTGGTGAGCATATCACAGCCCCCATAGGGAGCAGCGAGCTGGTCCATGTCTCCTGGGACGTTTACATGCCACTTTTGTTGGGATTTCCTCCAGGCCAGACAGCACCGTATCACACCACATTCTCCTCTCACAGTCTCTCCTATAGAGTTATTACAAGGTTATCAATTCATGTGGGCTACCATATAGTAAATATTACATACAGAATAGACATATAGCCTACGATTCTATCCTTGCGACACTTCCCCCACGGATGGTACCTGGGAACAGGTAGCAGTGCCCTAAAGGTTACCCAGGGCACAAACACTTTCAGTACTTACAAATACCTCTCTAAAACAATATGACTCAGAAAATTTGCACGGCTATGCGTATGGCTTCTTTTTAATGACCAGAATACATTCAAAACTAAAATATTCTGTCCTTCATGCATGTGGGCTTGCTGATGGTTGTCCTAAGGGTCCAGCCTCAGGCCCACATGACACCAGGGAGGGTGTAGGACTGGCGCCCCGGACCATCAAGACGGCACATCACGGGCGAACCTCCATGAGTCGGCACTACACATTTCATGTGTCCTCACTGTTGTTGTTGCTGCTGCTGCTGCTGTTGATGATTCAACTCTAATGCTTGCAGTTTCTTCCATAGCTCATCTCGCTCACGTTCACGTTTCTTCTCCCTGCAAAAGTCCAGTGAGATCTTTCATGGGTATGTTGCTTAAATTTAGCATAAATCTATAATGCAATCTTTGACCATTTACAATTTCACTGTATCTCATATCTTTATCATCTCTTTATTTCTACTCCTTTTATCACTTTTGTGTGGGAGGAAATCAAAGGATACCAAAACTACAGAGGGAAAATAATATGGCATGTAATGCAAAACTTATGTAAAAAGTGACAGAAAAAGGCTATGATGGCAAGTTGGTAACAATTGCACATACTTTACTTGCCTTTCCTAAACTTTTTAATGCATCACATACAAAACTATTAAATCTTCCCTCCATGCTAAATCACTTTGCATTATATTTAAATCATCTGGTTTATTTTTAAATCATTCCCAAATAAATGTGGTGAAACTGATGCAAAATTGACAAGGGTATTTAATATCAATGTACTTTTCCACTTATCCTCAACTCAGTTTCAGTGTAACAAAAGACATCAGTATTTCTGCCAAAACTGTTATTCCATGAAACAGTTTTAGCTTCCTTATGATCTTATGCAAGTACAAAATGGAAGTAAAGATACTGCCAGGAGTCCCAACCCACAGAAAAAGTATCCACTACACTAAGAAGACCTGAGGGGCACCAAGTAAAATTAGGTTCATTAGTAACGAAGCTCTTAATGTGCACCTTTATGACAATTATAATCCAGTAATACTGTATAAACATTCACTTAATGAAGCATGTTCGTGTATAACTGGGGAGCATACCCAACAGGATGCATAATAATGGTCAGCCCCTTATTAGTAACCAAGAAGGAAAGGCCTGGAGCTGCCTTCATTGTATTATGGTCCCACAGATTAGACCAAAGTCCAAATTCATTCACAACAATAATGCACAAAAATTCTAAAATTTTCCAGAAATATTTTTCCTTATCAATAATAAACATAGTCATGGATATGAATAAGCGAGTGTTTCTATTTGTTGTGTTAACCTTTCCCTGGCCTTCCACCACTTTCTGAGATATTTGTAATATTTGATCCATTCTACATAAATTGAGGAATAAAGATGCCTGATGGGCAGATAAACCATAACATGCTTCACGATATGCATACACATGCATATTCGCATAAGTTTGTTAAGCATTTGATATTGTACTGTACAGTGACCATTACTCCTTACGCTCTGCATAACACCATGTTTCTCTATGTAGACTTTTTTTATAAGTCAAATATATGAATGTAGGAAAAATACTAGTCAATAGATGCTGAATATCAAACCTTTGCCTCTCTGCCTTATAAGAAGCTGTAAGTTCATCAAACAGCTTGCTGTTCATTTCCATGAAAGTCTTGAGCACATTGTAGACTAACGCAACAATTGTCTGATTCCAGTGTTCCTGCAAAAGAATACAAATAACATAAATCTACAAAATGTTGCAAGAGGACAAAACTATCAAGTGAAAGGTATCTGATAACAGGGAATACTGTACATACAATAAGAAGTAAGAAACACATTAACTAACTAGCCATATTTTGTGGGAAGTTAATCAAAACAAAGTACAGTATAAAAAGTAAGGACTGCAATAACTACTCAATGGAAAAAAGTACTCTCACAGATAAGTTGTGCCTGAAATGTAAGAAACTGACTAAGTTACAATAACAAGTGGTAACGAAAATCAACCCATGCCATCTTTTCCAGTAAAATGAATGACCCGAACCTATCAATTATATCTATCAACCCAATTTCCCGGAGTGAGTGAGTTACATAAAGCCTTACAAGAACATCCTGATCATACCTTGCTAATTCTGTAGAGTGCTGGAAACATTATAGGCAGGATCACATTTGAATTTTCCTCTATTAGACTCATGATGTACTCATTGTTCCAGAAATAGAGTGCCCGCTCTGCAACCTGTAATTAAATATACACTTGGTCACTGTATGGACAGGAAAAACTTTGAAAATTCTCATAAAATTTTTTTACATTACAAGTCGCATTATGATCTTTCAGCACTTCAATGCACTGCATACCAGTCCGTTCTCCAACTTGAACTTATCAATATTCAAATATGTAATACACCAACTACTCATAAACAAGCTTCATAAATCAGAGACTACCTGTAACAAATCCCCTTAGTCAAGAAACACACCAAACAATCTTCAACAAGAATCTGCCAAATTACACCTTCATTGAGGCTATGGAAAATTATCCAGTAGAAACCATCTTTAACACAGTTGGACAGCATCTCATTTTAAAAGTTTCTTATGTGGTGAGCTGGATAGACTGAATAACTGAAACATGGGACGGGGGTGGGGTGGGGGGTAAAGGGGAAACACCTTCGCATTGTTAATCAGAAAAAAGAGAGATAGAAAACAACCACCATCATCATCATTGTTTTATGGCTATACTCCAGGCTTGTGTAGGTTAGCCATGTTTACCAGATGGCATGGTGTGGCATGGTGACCCTGTTGCCATAAGGCAAATTTGAAGTAAGTTTTACTGTACGATGCCCTTTCCTAGTGCCAAACTATTTCTATGGTAGGAACTGGGCATTACATGTAGGATGCCCAGTGCCCTCTTATGTTCATTAGAGAAATTTGCTTATACACCAAGTGGTTCATAGAACTAACAGTATCTGAATTCCTGGGTGATAAAAAAGCACATTATATAAAACTTACCTGGAAGTGAGGACTGGAAACACACTTTGATATCTGCTTAAACAGTGGCTCTTGTATTTTGACAAACTGTGATGGTTCTATCACATCGAGTATTTCTTCTATCTCCCCTAAAAACATTACCTGAAAATATTTAAACAGACATTATACATTATAGAGAATGTCCAACTATAATTCAGTTATTATGGTACAAGTGGAAATACAGGTTATTATAAATGTCTTTGCACTGGAAGGGGTTTCTAAATACCATATTACTATCCCATAATATATTTAATCTTCAATCTACCAATTAATTATTATTATAACTTAATTTACAGCTGTTACCGTTATCTCCTGTCCTAAGGGTTGGTGGTTCATGCTCGGGGCACCACCAGTTGCCTCTATGTGTACTGAAACTTAGTATTCAGGTTGCTGTATGTGCACTACCACAACAAGCTGTCATGCCTAAAGGAAACCTCTTTCACTTTTTTTCATGTACTATAGTAGGAATGAATGACTGAAAGAGAGAGAGAGAGAGTGTGTGTGTGCGTGTGTGTGCGTGTGTGTGCGCGTTTGTTATGGGTATCAAATATAAAACAATACTTAATATCCTATACCACTTTTGTGTAGGGGTGGAGAAAATGGTAAAGAAATGTGAAGGAAAGCGGGAACGTGACAGCAAAATGGTGGAAGGTAAGAAAGCACTAATAAAGAAATAATAGACATAAACATAAATAGTGACATTCAGGTTAATGAAAAACTGTATTCCAGGTAACTTGATGTCTAAGAAGAAAAGTAAGTTTTACATAATGTATAATCCAGTTAGTGTCGACTCACCTCCTTCTGACTACAAGTTTTGGGCCAGAATTTGAGTAGTCCCTTAATGACTGGCTCAGTGAGTGTTGGATCCTTCTCAAGAAACTGCACCACACAGTAGGCCAGCTGCGCATGATATAGACTCAAGCACTTCACTTTGTGCAGCGGAATCAGCACCTTGATCAAAAATTGCTTATGTTCTGCCTTGAGTGGTAGAGCAAACCCATTGATTATACTGGAATGTAATAAAAGAGAAAAATTAACATCTATACATCAAGACCTCTTCAACTAACACGCCATAATAAGGTTTCAAGAGCTTTGTCTAATTTGATCTTTACTAGCTACCATTGAGCTACTATTATCTGAACTCTAAACTCTGCCAAACTATGAACTTCTAATATTTCAACTCCAACCTTTACCAAAGTATCAGGCAGTTTACTAAGAACTAAGACAAAAATTATAGCAACACATTTCTATATATTCTTTGAGCCACATGTAATTTTTCTCTTGCAATCACATTCGTACTGTAGCACAAGGTGGTCAGAATAAAGGGCACAGACTCTCCCTGCAGTCATTCAGTCAGTGTAGCTGCTGTATCATTTGTGTTCTCTTGTGAAGTTCCCTCTCCTTAGTACATCTCTGACACCTCCCACTATTGTATTGCTCCACACAACTTACATTCAGCAGCAGGTAATCAAGATCAGTATGAAAATTTTTGATATATAGTTTTAGATAAGTACAGCCCCAGACTAAACAAATCCTAGCTGAGCAACATGGAATTGTTGACTCTTAAAAAGATTCCTTCACTTTTGGCAATAAAAATTACACAAGAGTATCAAATGAAGAAATGACTACCGAGTGTGAAACCAAATGGCAGATACAAACTTCATTAGAGAAATATATTTCTAAGGGTACATGCACACGCAGTAAAAAAAGTACCGCACAGATATGTGTGAAACAGTTTGACACCACGGACGAGGGATAGTGGAATATGAGTGTAAGATAATTAATGTAATGGTGTTGATATTATGCCGGACCTGTGGGACATAACTAATATGGCCCTACCACAAGTAGGTGGAAACCTTCATCATACAGGCATGCACACCAACCCTCCCAGCACATCAGGTGATGTATTGATCATTACGGAAGTCAGCAGATCCCCCCTTCCCCTGTGCGATACTTTTTTTACTGTGAGTAATAAGCATAACCACTGACTGCTTGGAGAAATGTTTATTGAACACTTTCTTTTAGTGTTCTAGGTCAAGAAAAAATATTTAGGTCATTGTGTAAACATTCCCTTCATTTACAGGGAGGCTCATCTGGCAGGACCAGAATACTTTAGTGGTACTGTTAGTGATGGGAGGAGTGTGGCAGCTTCATGATGGTTCCATCATTATCACCTTCAAAAGTTTTAATCATAACCACTGCCTCTTATGTACTGTACTGCTCTCTACCATCCCCCTGCCTTCAAGAAAGGGTTAAACAAACATTTTTAAAAACTTAAACAGAACTAAAACCAACTTACCTTCCCAAAATTTCTAGAAGTTCTCCTACACCATTGAAGTGTTCCGTTTCATATACAAACCTGAAACACAAAATATTTGTATTACTTATCTGAGAACAAATAAATTTCTTGTACATATATTTCTTATCTACTAACCCTAGTCTATTCTCAAATGGTGAGCTAAAAACTGACTTGGTAATAGCAAAATAAAGAAATAAAAAGAAACAGATATATAAATAAACAAAATAATATAGAAAGAAAAATAAATAAATAAACATAAAATAAAATGGGAGATACGAGTATTTGCTGGAGTCACAATATTAAATTAGAGTAAGTGTGACAGACACCCAAGTGATCATTTAAAATGAAATGGCTGAGAAATGAGCCACAAACTTGATGCAGAGAGATACTGTAAATGGCAAAAAAAGCAGAGATTGGTGACTAAGAACAACACATATAGAGTTAAAGTGGCATTAAGCAGATTGAATGACACAAATAGAAACAGATATGCACACAGAAAGACATAGAAAGTGATAATACATAAGGAGAGACAATCAATGACACAGACAGGTAAACACAAAGATAATAGTTCCCATTACTTTCTGTCCATGTCTGGTTCACAATAAAGCACAACTTACCTAAGGAAAATATTGTTTATTTGTTTTCTGATGAATGCTCTTAGTCCCAGAAACTTTCCATATATCCTATGTAGGACAGTCTTGAGGAAGTCTCTCTCTCGGGGATCCTCACTATCAAATAGTTCCAAAAGCTGAAAAAAAGTAGAAAAATAGTACTGTTTGAAAGACTATGGCACGACTGCCAGTTGCAACCCAAAACTTGTACTCTTAATTGTGCATGAAATACAAAGTTACTTGTTAAAAATAAACTATCTTTTATTTTTGTAATTCTTGCATGGAACTTGCCCACTATAACACAACTCTGCCAAAATCAAGAGCAACAGCCTCTCTTATTTACAGTTATTCATTGTAGTTGCTGGGGTTTATTTGTTCAGCTGTGGAGCCCTACTATAACCAGGCCTCAATATTTCCATTTGGTTTACCTATTCTTTACTTAGGATGTTATTTGTTAGATATCTAATCTTATAAAGCCTTAATGTAGGGTGGCTAGAATCAACAGCAAATACATGCACACAGTCTCCCTTTTCCTTAGCACGTAAGTCCCCTTCCACAACAAAGCCCTCAAATCTCATATATTCCCATCACTTCACTTAAGCCAGCATCAACCATCAGTAAATTATCACTTACTGCCCAATTCTTCACTCATTCACACAAATTTCTGCTTCCTAGAGTTTCATACCGCCCCCCCCCTTCTTCATGTGTGTCCTTCAACCCATTCCTTGCTTAGTTTTTCCCACTCCCTCCTACCACCTACATGGAAACTATACACAACTTTTACCAATCTCTCTCTTCCCACCCACAGTGTCCATGTCATGTGACAATATCCTAATCTACCTGACACCATCTCCACTTCTCCTTATTGACATATCTTAATTTTTGCATTTTATTTTCCTTAAGAATTTCTCTGGAGTATATAATTTCTCTTACTTCAAACTGGCTCCTGTCTCTTACATCCATAAATGTGTCAATGTATAACATTATTTCTAAGAATATTGTTGAAAATAATCAGTTATGTATTCTAAGAGCCTGAATAAAATTTCACATTCACAGATAAAAAAAAATAAATAAAAAGTCAAGTTCATCCATCTGATTGAGGCTTAATCATCCAACAATAAAATTATATCTGGGTAATTTACATCTAGAAATATCATCATCAACCACAGATGGATGTTCAGTTATATCCATCTCTGAGCGCACCATCATCTCTTGGTGATGTCCACTTTTTCTTAACCCACAACATTTCCCAAAGATTTCTTAATAATAATTATCTTCCTTGGAAAACTGATCACTCTATAATATATAATACAATAAACTTTTAATGATATCCAATCCCTCAAGATGTGATCACAAGGTGCCTTTACGTACTAGATAACTGTAATACTAAAACAAAACTATTCATGAACTAATAAACTGCCAACTATGACTTCTATTAAAGTGCCTTAAAAAAATCATATTGACATTGCACAATGAATAACAGAGGTTTTCAGGAAATGTTCTTAACTACAAGAACGACATAGTCCTGCTCTCTATGGTACACATCCTCAGTGGAATTAACAACTCACACTGATAAGTTTTACTCTAATACTGTACTGGAATAATGTTGAGAAGAGGTTACAAAGTGAAATGTAATATATCCACTTCATATTAAAGCCATGTACTGTATTACATATAACAAAAGAGAAACACATAAGATTGAAAAGTCCTTGATAACTAGATCATCAGTTAAGAATCTAAGTTGAAAATGCAATACAGTATTATATAAGAAACTGTGTAGTGATATCTCTGTTAGCCAAAACAATTGGCGCAGAGCACTTCCGGGGATGAGAGATTTCCGGATAACGAGACGACTCTTTCAAAGCTGGAAAAAAATCCTCCATCCCCGGAATTTTCCGGGTAATGGAAAAATTTTCTTGGAAGTTCCAGAATTATGCATCATTTCATCTCTCAAAACTGGGAAAAATTACCCCCATCCCCAGAATTTTCTGTAAATTTCCAGATAATGGAAAAATGTTCTTGGAAGTTCCAGAAATTGTGCATTACATTATCTCTCGAACCCGGAAAAATATCCCCCATCCCCTGAATTTTCTGGGTACAGGTGTACTGGGAAAATTTTCTCGGTATTTTCCAGAAAATGTGACCCTCGGAAAATAGTTCCAAAAGCTGGAATTTTCCAGAAAATTCCAGCTTTGGGAGTAATTTTCCAAGAAAATTTTAATTCCAGCTATTGGAGAGTTCCAGGTTTGAGGGATTCCGGCTAACGGAGATATTACTGTATATAATGTCCTTGACAAAGTTAGGAAAATTTATGATTATACTTATGTCCACGAGGTAAGGAAAGGTGTATGGGGAAAATGTATGATACTGTATATGGATGAATCTAAACAACAAACAGAAAAGGGTATTTTTCTTCTTTCATTATATAATACTATATTGGGAATCTCTGAAAAGTCTTATTTACTGTACAATGATCATATGAATATTCTTTGAATGGTTAAAAATGGCTATGTAAAGTATACACTACATTATTTTTTTATGTAAAGAATACAATACTGTACAGTACAGTATATACCTCAGTCACAATGATAAAAGAAACTGACTACTGTACTGTACTATATGTACTGTACTGTATGTACTGTACTGTACTAAACTGTGCTTACCTGTAAAACAAATTTCTGATCTATAACTCTCTTGCCAATAGCTGGCTGGAAGTCTGGGCTCTCTAAGAAGCGTAGGAAGAACTCGTAAACCAGCTGCAGGTGCGGCCAAGAGGCCTCTAGGGTTGGATCATCCTCTTCAGGATCAAAATCTGGGTTATCCGAAGGAGGAAGTGTTCGGAACAAGTTGCAAGCAATCTGAAAATTTATTAAGGATTCTTGTATTCTCATGGGATGACACACTTATAACATATGAGTGTGTCAGTAGACACTATTCCCTCCTGTCTCAAATATAATTAATGTACTCATGTCATTCTGTAGATAAATTCCCTTTGAGTAAGATCATTTTTGCAATCACCAACAAACAAGAGTTTTAGCAAGAGCTGAATACTCCATCACCAAACCCTACCTATCTATCAACTTTAATTCATTCCTGACTTAATGGTGTGGTGGAGCTACACAAAGGCTTTCAATGTTCTCTCACCCTTACAGTGACTATGATGCTCAAGGAATAAAGATAATCTAACCCTTATCATAAATGTAAAAAAGGGAGTAAAAAGTTAAATAAAATTTTATGATGCACTTTTTCAAAATACTTTACATGGGTGAGATAGACAGACAGATGGAGAGATGAGTGAAAATCAATATGTCCCGTTCCATGCAGGAGACAAGTGAGACAAAAAGGTGGCAACGTGCAATAAGAGGAAATTAGATGAAGACTTGTAAAGGATATTCAGTGACTAAATGATTCACACATTTTCATTAATATTTCACCAAAAAGCCTTAACCAGAAATAAAACAAACTATGGTGGCATTACACTTCATTGTAACACTTCTGTATTTGTTTTGAACTGCTCAATTCATTATACTTAACCACCCTTGTATATGTACTATTTCATCAGCATAAAATTTTAACAGCATTCAATAATCAACCAGACAAATTATAAAGAGAAAGATATCTCCAGCTTGTTTCTGTTCACTATATCACAAGTTTTCTATAAATTTACCAATAACTGACTTCTTTTTTTTTTTACTTTCTTCTTTACCATTTGTGTGCAGGGTCCTCTCTCTGCTGAATGAAATTGTGTGGTGTTGGCCAAATAAAATATTAAAAGTGGCATCCCTGTAGTGAAGTGGTTACCGAGACGAGAGCAATAATCCACATTCAGCATCTCCGCTACCTTCCCCAGTCTTCTCACTTATTCATGTAAGAAGGGTAATACTGGATGTTGGTGGAGTGGCAAGTGAGAGGGCATGAGGTGAAACAGAATAACACATTTGAACAAGTGTGTATCATATTGGATCTGCATCACTTAACTGAACCATAAATTAACAGTAATTACACTCCACTTTTATTGGGGGAAAAAATAATTACATGAGTCAAACAGGAAATTAGGAAAGAATCTGAGTATAGATGGAATAGAGAATTTACTTGTGGAATGCAAAAATAATGCCTTCAATCATGACATTCATTCTATCTCACCTCACCACTTCATCCAAACCTAACTTTTCACATTTTAAAACCAACATGATAGTCTGTCCTTACCCCTGTGTAGTATAATCTCCTTCATATTTTTAATGTTTCCTCCATCACCTACCAATCTTATCTGATAATGTAGCTTCCATCTCCTAAAAATGGCAGTGTCTCTTATGATTTACTTATCATCCATTATCTAATTCACTGAAGTGTACTTCAATTTACTCAGAAGAATTTCCCTCTATGCCTGTTCAGTTTTTCTAATGCTGCTTGATATTCTAAACTATCTTCTGTTTTTGTCACATCTTATAAAAAAAAAAGGTTTATCTTCACTCCACCATCTTCTTCTCCCTTCAAAAAGCTGACTTATTATTTGCAATTGCCTTATAAGTTCCCCATTGAAGTTAACTCCAATACATTTCACTTAAATCTTATTGCACATGTAGCACACTGGCATACCTTCAGCCCTAAGATTTTAAATTCTTACGAGTATTTCTGATTCTTGACAATCTTACGTACACCAAAATGTTATCAATGTGGCAGCACAAGCCTCTCACTTATCTACTGTCTCTTACACTACCAGTCGTGTATGCTTCTAGCTTCTTCTCCTTTTCCTGTATCTATTACCAAATACCGCAGGATTTGAATACATTATGGAGTTAGAAGTATCAAGAACACTCATGCCTGGTGCAACTAATATTTTTATACTGATGCCTCTTTATCCTGCTATTCAAATTTTTGTTACCATGGCTTACAATGCTCTAACAATGTACAAATCTAAACCCATCAAATCAGCTTCCCTCATATAACCAACTTTCCTAATACCCTTCAGGGTCCTCTGAAGAAAATACAACATTGACTTCACTCACTTCAGTTGGTAATTACACACAAGAAAACTCTTAATCAGAGGTGATGACATACCATTCGGATTATCTCTGGATACACTGGCTCTGTCAAGACTCCTCGACCTGCAGTGATGTAGTCCACCAGTTCATTGAGTGTACTACGTTTCATCTCCTTCCCTTTCAGGTCGGCCACCGGGTCGAGGAAATCGAAGCCCACACAACACTGCCGAAGCTTGCGCAAGAACAGGTCCTCTTGTTCTGACCCCGGAACATCTGAGGTAAATAATTTGGATTAATTCTTCATTCTAGCAACCACAGACACTGTTTAACAGTACAACATACTTCAAGCAAGCACACTACTGTATCTGATGAACATATTTTTTTCTTGTTCTGCATTTAAAAAATATCTGTAAACTGATTACAATTTGCATCGATTTCATTATTAGTTGCCTCTTGCCATCTAGATAATTTACTTTTAAGGTAAATGTTGGATTGACTCCAAAATCCTCAAATTAGTGAATTGTACAATATGGTCACAAAGTCTACAGGATAAACACCAGGTCTTTTTTGATGACACATTAATGACTGGTACAAATTTACTCATTACTTATACTCTATTGTCTTTAGAACGTCAAGGATAAAGGCTCCCTTTAATCCTTTATGAAGAAGTTTAAAACATGGTTCACAAGTTAAGTCTAAAAAAACAAAAGTTAGAAATACAAGTATTGAGAAATATTGAAAATCATGAAATACCTGCAGTACTTGGCATACCAAGTGTGCCTGTCAATCATATTGGAATTACTGTCATTATATTATGGTCTAATATGGGTCACAGCAGTAACACTAGGAACTAGCCCCACTGCCATCTCCAGCATTTTTATCTTGGTTAATTTGCTATGACCTGGCCCCCGGGAGTGGCAAAGTGAGCATAAGACTATGATCCAGTGTGAGGCTATTAAGTTCCTGGAAAAAAGATCTTTTCCCTCATCATCTATGGACAGTAGTGGTATTCTATTTTGTACTTCAGGGACTTACGTTTATTGTAAATGTCATACATATAAATACTGTACAGTACAGTACAGTACGTGAGCAAGATACATCTTATCTACACTAATGATAAACCCTAAACAACACCACAGAAGCTTCCAGAACAATACTGTATATTCCATTGTGCTTCATTTTTTCATTTCCAAAAGCTACCCCTCTATATACTGTGCCACATATTTGATCATTTAAATGGGAATTACCTGATTATCATATTGGAAATACAGCATATGCCCTCCCTGCTGTGGTCATATTTGTTTTACAAATATTATTGAAAATTAATTTTGCAACTATGAAATTGTAAAACAATAATATAGAATAACTTAAAAACAAAGCAGATTGTGAGACCATCTACAATAGATTAATCAAATATAAAAACTAATGTTAGTCGAGTGTTGTACCTAACCCAAGTAAATAAAACAATGACGGACACTTACCCGTGTGCCAATTGTTATTTCATAGCACACGAAATTACTATAAATACTGTACAGTAGAGTAATAACAAAATTATTCCATGAAGGCAGCAGGAAGCTACAGTACTGTACTCTGTCCACAAGCTTTACAGGGTGTTTAGGTATTTTGGGGAGAGAATTGTAAATATACTGTATACAGTACTGTATAATATTGGCTGACTTGTTTTGAACAAAATTTATTAACAAAAGACCTTGAAAATTTATATTCTCATAAACTGCTCCATTTACTGACAATATCAGTACACAGTAAACACAAAAGCAAACAAAACTTGTTATTCTAATTTATATTTTTCCTGTTATCACTTTTGGTCCCAACATTTTTATGAAATTTCTGATAAATTTAATAGGGACCAGCAAATCATCATATTGTAATTACCGGTGTATGTTGTAAGAGAGGACATTGCAGGCATTATATGTCCTTGAAACTCGCTCATACCATAGTACTGTAGTTCTGCAATTTCACAATATCTAGTGTTGCAGTTAGAAATTAGCACACAGAAGTTTGATTACCGGACTTACATTCTAAACTATAGATAAAGTAAACAATAACAACAAGAATAATAACACTGTTATGATAATATAACAGAAATAATAAAAGTTAAAAGGGAGTCTGGCTGTGAGTGGGAATGTAACCCCACTTTTACTATGGACACCAGTCCTTGTTTATACAGTAGGTACCATCCTTTATATACAGTATTCATGGTTTGGGGTGTGAGTCTGCCTAGTTGGACGGTTATGAGTTAAACTGTTTGGGTTGACCCGAAAGCTTAATTCAAAATCCAAATTGAATACAGTTACTGTAATAAACAATAACTACTGCATATGAGAGTCAGAACTTATGAGAATACAGGGTACAGTACGTAAGAGTATATGAGTACAGTATGGTAACATAATAAAATAAAAAGAATGGTGATGGAATCGATGGACAATTTTGTCACTTGCACTGCCCCAAGTTGTAGCCATTAGGCACACTTGGCTAACCAGTCAGTGGTCATGAGTGTGAACATGATCTAGGTGGTGCCCCACTGCAGTGGGAGATTGGCTACTCACACGGGCCAGAGAAAGGTAGTACGTACTGGTTGATGTGTAGCACGGAAAGTTATGCGTATTTGTACCATACCTGCACAAATTTATTGCTATATCTTTTATTGAGTATAAATATTCACAACACGATAGAGCACAACAAGCATCCTGGAGAGAATAATACCTGTGGTTAAAAATGATCTAGATTACTACTGTTCCTTGGTAAATAATCTTCTCTGATGTATATTGTCTTAAACAAAACAAATAAACAAACAATACCGCACCTATCACTATCTGGGCCATATCCTATTACCAAATCCTGCTGTACACTGTTGGCAAGATCAGTCTCTACTATACATATTCAGATTCTTGTCCATCACCATACAGTACACTCTTCCATACTAACACACCTCTCACCAACACACTCCACCATACTAACACACCTCTCACCAACACACTCCACCATACTAACACACCTCTCACCAACACACACTCCACCATACTAACACACCTCTCACCAACACACACTCCACCATACTAACACACCTCTCACCAACACACACTCCACCATACTAACACACCTCTCACCAACACACTCCACCATACTAACACACCTCTCACCAACACACACACTCCACCATACCAACACACCTCTCACCAACACACACTCCACCATACTAACACACCTCTCACCAACACACACTCCACCATACTAACACACCTCTCTCTCACCAACACACTCCACCATACTCCACACCTCACCAACACACACTCCACCATACTAACACACCTCTCACCAACACACACTCCACCATACTAACACACCTCTCACCAACACACACTCCACCATACTAACACACCTCTCACCAACACACACTCCACCATACTAACACACCTCTCACCAACACACTCCACCATACTAACACACCTCTCACCAACACACACTCCACCATACTAACACACCTCTCACCAACACACACTCCACCATACTAACACACCTCTCACCAACACACACTCCACCATACTAACACACCTCTCACCAACACACTCCACCATACTAACACACCTCTCACCAACACACACTCCACCATACTAACACACCTCTCACCAACACACTCCACCATAGTAACACACCTCTCACCAACACACATTAATTTTTACTCCCATCCACTAATACTAATACCCCAATAGACTACATGTTTTGATTTCCCACGTAGACTTAATTAGTAAAAAAAAAGATTTATATTCTGGTGAGTCACGAGACACCAGCTTGTTACGTGTATGTTTATTTTTATAGAGAGTTTCCGTAACTTTGGAATGTAACACAGTAGAGTAGTTTAATCTTATCAGCGTTGCATTTTTATTTACCCTTTTAAATTTTTTATTTCAATGCCATTCCTCTATGTGTGTTTAGGTGCCATCAACCATACTTTTTCAGTACTGTGTTTCAATGCCATGACCTGTTAGCCTAAAAAAAAAATAATAATAATAATAAACTAAATAAAATGGCTCCTGTAGGTATGGTGTATGCAATAGTTATCATATTAATATATTTCCAAATACATACTGAAAAAAAAATAATAACTCGAAGGCAACACAAGGACACACTTAAGAATGATAGCTCTTTAATTTCTTGTCTCTCTTATTAAAAACACCTTAAAAGAATTCATCCTATTGTCTGTTGTTTGCATCAAGACACAGTGATTGTTACTAAGAAAAACACTTGAATGAAGGATGTAAAACAGTAAACACCAACTGTCAGTCTGTTACATCATTTGTTTACATATTATCAACTACGTGAATTAGTATCATACCTTTTTACTATACTGCAATACTCAAGTACTGTCCAGTAGAGCTATTTCAAACAAAAATACCATCAATTAATATATCAACCAAGCTCCCTCCACTTTTGGCAGCCTTAGTAACTGTTGCTATGTGAGTCACACCACTACATTGCCAACTTCATTGTTGCTGTTTTTTTTTTCAATGTTATAGTATAATAAAAAAAATATTACCCGGTAAGTGGAAACATGGCTGTTAGGCATCAATTATTCATCAGCATCGAAAATGATATATAACCAAGGTAGGTCACATGTAGACTAAAAGTACTGATACATTACTGTACTATAGTACAGTATAGTTTAGTACAGTACTGTTAATGTATAATACACATATGGTAGATTGATCTTAAAATCCTATTTTTTAACTAAACCTGCAGCCAGACAGATCAAGCACTGCACACACACCATATACTCAAGTTCAGACCCAGGAAAACCTTGACACTGATGGCTTGATAATTATTTCTGACCAATAAGCATACCTTAGAATACCTCCCACTGCTAATATCATCCACAAGGAAGGAGACTTAACTATGATATTATTTTTCTAAACAGAACTCAAATCTAAGTGGCTCTCACAATGCTGGACAACTTGCTGAGGTCCTTCATTCCTGAAACAGGACGTCCCAACACCAACCAGGATAAATCTGTTAATCCCCTTGAATAGACCATAATACAACTCCCTTCCCCTCTTGGCAGCCACCTCTAGTGACAGAAACATGACACAGCAGTTGTTCCAAAGAACTGGAGGTCTATTTAGAGCCATGACTATCCAACCGTGCGCTCATTCACTCATGGTGACATGTTCCCGTCCTCGGCTCCCAGGGTGTAAAGACACATACTTGGCGCCTCCTGGCCACCAGGACCAGACAGTTGGTCCCTTCCCCCTTCTCCT